TTCCAAGGCTAATAAACTCAGAGAAAAATAATAAGAAGATATAAGGATATTGATAAAGATATAGACACATAAATAAAAACTAAAAAGAGTTAAACATTCCTTAAACTTTGGGTGTTTGGTAAGTAATTATTGTACTATTAATTTTATTTGTCACTTATATAATTAAAATATCATTTTGATATTTATTAATTACATTTAATAAATGATAATGTGGTATGTCAATGACATAATAAATATTTGTAATTATTAATTAAAAATGAATACAACTCAATACATCAATCCATAATCCTATAAAATCTATATACTTTCAAGTGATAGAGCTGAAATTCTGAGCACTCTAGGTAAGTGTATGGATGGAAAACTACAACAGACCACTTTAGAAATTGTCTTTGTATAATCAGAATAAATGTGTATCCATTTCCATATAGTCTATGTTATATGTTTATTTAGTGGTTATAGAGATTACGTTAGGCAAATAATTTTGAAAACTATTCTCATAAACAGAACCAAACAAACTGAAATAAGTGTGCTATAGTGATACAGGCTCAACAATGTTTATATCAGTGCAATTTACAGTCACCATATTATGGAACCATCCCGGGTGTCAATCAACATATGAATGCATACAGAAATGTGGTATATGTGCACAATGAAGTTCTGTTTAGTTACAAAAATAACGAAATTATGTCACTTGCTGATAAATGAGGAGAACTGGAGAATACCATGTTACATAAAATAAGCCAAACTCAGAACATCAAAGATCAAAATTCTTTTTTTCATCTACAGAATCTAGAGAAAAATAAGGAAATGAAAAAGGTTGGGTGGGGGGATTCCATGAAAATAGAAGGGAGATCAGTGCAGTAGAGGAAGGGGATTGAGGGGGAGGCAGAAGGGATGGGACTAGAGAGGAATTCTGGAATGAAATTGACCAAATTATTCTATGCCCATATATGAAGACACCACAGTGAATTATACCTTTATGCATATCTAAAGCACAAACTTAGAAAAAAATATAATGAAGACCAATAGAGTAGAAGAGGAGAAAGGGGGAAGGAAAAGAGAAGGTAAAGAGAAAATACTGGGGATTGAAAGGAAGTATATTATATTCCTTGAAATATGGTTATATCAAAATGAACTCCACTATTATGTGTAAATATAATGCACTAATAGAAACATAAAATACAAAATAGAAAAGATCACGTATATATGTAGTTTCATTTTTACTTCTTAGTGTGTGTGTGTATATATACACACACACACTATATATATATATATATATATATATATATATATATATATATATATATATATAGAGAGAGAGAGAGAGAGAGAGAGAGAGAGAGAGACAGAGACAGAGACAGAAACCTACCTGAAAGAAGTTTCTTTTACACATTCAGATGAGCACTTTCATGGACTTCATCTCTTTGTAAGGTCTCAAATGATGACTAGGTGAGGAACAGGTCAAGTGTGATGGATTCATGCAATTTACACCAATTCCCGTTCATGCCCCCTCCTCAAATATACTTAAGGAGTAAAACTGGACACACTACTTGCTGTGGTTTATATTTCCTGCCGTTTATCTTTCATAAGTACTTCAACAATATTTTAGTATAAGTTACCTTGATATTAATATACTTAAAATATTAAATTTCCTCATGAGGCATTGTCATTAGAATTGAGATATTCTTATTTCTGTGCAACAAAGCTGATGTAAGTTACATGCAAGACCTACGGGAGCATAAGGAAATATGAGAAAATTAGGAGATATAAGGTCAGTGGCATTGAATATAGAATGAAGATTCATCAAATTTGGGAGGCTAAGTGGATGAAACATTTTAAAAATAAATTTTATAAATTTCTGTTTTATAAAACTTTTACCTGACATAATATCACAGACACAAGACAAAATACAGTGAAGTTGATATATATATATATATATATATATATATATATATATATATATGCAGATTCCTAATTGTGATTTGAAATCTTTTTGGTGCTAAGGGCATAAGTACGCCTTCCAAATATGATATAACAATTAATGCATAAAATTTGTGCTTAAGTAAACAAAATGTCTCAGAATATTTCTAATAGCCTGAGGTTTGAAAAATATAGCATAGAACTAGGTGCATGGCATTTAAGGTAATTATCACTGGTGCAAAATGATCATAAATAGCTTATACATTAAAAATTAGAAATGACACATTTTATAGTGAAACATTTATTGAGTACAGTGTGTAAATGAGCTATGAGAAAAGAGAATCATGAAATTTTATCACATTATACATAAAGCTGATTATATGTAATTGACATTTAACTAATGGACACTTTTGCTTGCATGGCTGTGGCTAACTGATAATCAACCCTGTCCCAAGCACACACCTTTCTTTAATCATAAGTATGTTAAAGAATATCAGAGTACAACATTCAAGAAATACCTAAGTACAATAAGAAACAATGTAAAGCCTGTCTTTTGTTGTTACTGTTTGATATAATTTCTAATAATGAAAAACTACAAATAAAGAAGTGTACACGATCAGTGTCAAAAAGGTAAGGAAATAAATTTCTTTTCTGTTTACTGGATTGGGACTTCAATGGAGATAAAAAAAAAAAAATTGCGCTTTCATAGTTGACCATGTACTGAATACTGGCATTTTAATTTTTAGTGTTGTTGTCTGAGAAAAGTTTTTTTCAGATTCCACTGCAAAATGAACATTTACCACCACCATAAAACTGGAAACATAAAGGTCTCCTATTTTTCATAGAATACCTTTCACATATAATTGTGAATTGTAACCACCTCTTCTTCATCAACAGATGAGGAACAGATGAGATGAGATACATATTTTCATAATTCTTAAAATTTAAATTGATTTTTAAAAGGGTCACTGGAAGGGCTTAGGGTCACTAAATAACCAAATGTTTGGAAGAATATCAGAACAAAACACTGAGTCAGGGCTGGGGATGTGGCTCAAGCGGTAGCGCGCTTGCCTGGCATGCGTGCGGCCCGGGTTGGATCCTCAGCACCACATACAAACAAAGATATTGTGTCTGCCGAAAACTAAAAAATAAAAATAAATAAATAAATAAATAAATAAATAAATAAATAAAAACACTGAGTCACTGAAGTTTCACATTCTATCATTTTAAAAAATCATCATCCTTGAAGGTTTCTCTTCCTCCCATTTTTGGGTGATCTCAGAAATAAAATTTTATGTGTGTGTGAAATTCAATATTTTCTAAAACACACACACAAAGAATGAGTTTCAAATATTCTTACCCTCTCAACTCATTTGAAAATATTTAAAAATTAGCATTCAGAGAACAGAATGGAGGACTTCTTACTGCTCAGACTTCAACAGAGCTGTACAAAGCACAGAATTGAATAAGGTTTGGTCTCTTACATCAGATGGCAAAGCCAGAGCACACTGACCATTTCTGTAGGTATAGGCAGCATACAGCACCATATGACACTTTCTGTGTTTGTTACCTGTAATGAACCTTCTCTCTTGATTCTTCCAGGTGATTCTTAACATTACATTTATGAGGAAAATTTATGGAAGTTTTTTTTTTTTTTTTTCATATTTGAGACTCTCCCTGAGGAGGTGCTAAACAATTAGTGGATTATCCCCAAAGTATTTGAACGCTGAATGAAATTTGGACAATTTATCTGCTAACTGTCAGGGACAATTTATGTTCAACTGTGGCTTTATTTATTTATTAATAGAGTGTAAGAGCAAGTAATCCATCTTCAAGGTCTTGTCAAAAAGCCCTTGTATAAATATCTCAGAGATGTGCTAGTACTATCATTTTCATTACAGTGTAAATAAAACTAGCAAAAATGTGGAATCAACCTAAATATCCATCCAACGATAATGGATATGTAAAATGTGACACCTAGATGTGGTAGAATATGAATTAGATTTTAAAGACAATCTACTTTAAAATGAGATAACATGGATAGACTGGAAGTACATGATGCTAAATCAAATAAACCAGGTACAAAAAGACAAATACCGCATTAAGCTGCTTAATGAGGTATCCAAAATTCTCAAATTGAATCAGAAAGAAGAATAATAGTTACATGTAATAGAAACTGGGGTAAATGAAAAATTTTCAGTCAATACAAAATCTGAATTACTGAAACTAAATACGCTCTAGAGATCTCTTGTAAACATTGCACATGTATTTAAAAGTATTGTATTATACATTTAAATACAAAAGTACTGTATTATGCAGTGGAAATATTTCAAGAAGATAGATCTTCTGCTGAACACTTTGCAATAAGTTACAATAAAAGTTGATTTTGATACCATCATTGAAGTGTTTAAAGCTTAAAACAAAATGTTTTTTCTTATCCAATAAAGGAAGCAAACATAACAAACATACACACGTGGATACTGAAAAGTTTATTGTAATACATGAAACTATAAAAACCACAACAAAAAAATCTCAATTCCTTTTTCAAAAAAAAATGTGTGTGTGTGTGTGTGTGTGTGTGTTTGTATGTGTATAGATAGATAAATAGGTAGATATTTTTTTTTCATTCCCATACAGCATACTATTCTACCTGAACTTTGGATCTGAGGACTTTAAACACACATTACTTTACTATAACATTTACTGATTTATTATGTTTATAATTCATTTCTTCCCATCAAGTAAAGCAACAATTTTTATCATTTTGTTCACTTACATATTTATAATATTTAGAAATCTGACTAATAACAAAAGACCAATCTTTAAATATATAATGAGTGTACTTTTGCTTTCTATACATTCCAAAAGAATCAAATGCAGGTATTTGTTTATGTGTGTATATATATATATATATATATATATATATATATATATATATATATATATTATTTCTATGTGGTGCTGAGGATCGAACCCAGTGCCTAATGTGAACGAGGCAAGTGCTCTACCACTGAGCTACAGCCCCAGCCCCATAATGCAGGTATTTGTATGACTTGTCTGACTTAAATTCTATGCTACTTTTAAGAAAAAATATTCCACATCTTTTTCCATGTCCTCTGTAGGGCATATTTTACATCTTTGTTTCTCAAGCTATAGATGAAGGGATTCAACATGGGGATGACCAGGGTGTAAAATATGGAAGCCAGTTTATCAGTGTCAAAGTAGTGACCTGAATTTGGCTGCAAATAAATGAATATCAAAGTCCCATAGAACACTATGACCACTGTCAGGTGGGATCCACAGGTGGAGAAAGACTTGCGCCTGCCCTCAGCAGACTTCATCCTGAGAATGGTTATGAGGATGAGCAGGTAGGACACAAGAATGATCAAAAGAGAGGAAATCAAATCAAAAGCTGCAAAGACCAGAATTATCACTTCAATTTCATGTGTGTTTGAACAAAGCAAAGATAGCAAGGGGAGACTATCACAGTAAAAATGACTGATGACATTGTAGCCACAGAAGGGTAAAGTAAAAATCTTTAAGGTGATTAGAAGAGATAAAAAAGTACTGTAGAGATAGGGGATTGCCACCAACAAGAGACATACCCTTTGTGACATGATGACTGTGTAGAGGAGAGGATTACAGATGGCCATGTAGCGGTCATAGGCCATTGCTGACAGAATAAAAAGTTCACAATAAATGAAAAAAAGAAAGAAAGCTAGTTGTGTAGCACAAAAATAATAGTTGATCGTATTTTGATCCACCACAAAATTTACCAACATTTTGGGGCCCACAGCTGTAGAATTACCAAGATCTGTAATAGCCAGGTGTCTGAGAAAAAAGTACATGGGTGTTTGGAGCCTGTGGTCCACCTTGGTGAGGATGATCATGCCCAAGTTGCCCACCAGTGTGCTCATGTAGATGATGAGGAACAGCCCAAAGAGTATATTCTGCAGCTCAGGACGTGAGGAGATACCCTTCAGAATGAATTCATGTACCACTGTGAGGTTGTGTTTTTCCATTCAGTTGATTAGAAAGTCTCTTCTGGAAAGACATAGTAGCAAAATGAATAGATTTCAATTATTATTGCAAGGGGAATATACATTATGCAAAGCTAATATACATGAGATATATTTAAACTTTCAAATTTAGAATGCTTAAAAGTAAACATTTCATATTTTATTTTCACAAATAAAATAGGAAAAATCAGAGATAAATGTAAAACAGCTGCTCTTAGGTGATTTGATTACTAAAGAACATTTTACTAGCTTAAAGATATTTTCATTTTCACAATTGAGAGTTGGATGGCTATTTTTATCTAATTTGTAGATGTCAGCTAAGCTGCTAAACAATCTACTATATATTACCTCTAGTCCATTTCAATAATCATTTCATGACATTGTTCCATGGTTGAGAATTCAATGAAAAAATAGGCAGACAATGATACAGGTACACTTATATGGATATATAAAGCATAAATGATGAAAGTATAAACATTTCTAGAACTTTGGATGATAGATGAGTGGTTATCCTACTTTTACATTGTTCCTAAATTTTTGCATTTGTTATTTATATGATGACATGTAGATCTGTATTTATTAATTTAATAAAATCATTTATATTCCAATCATATACTAAATATTTCTAATAATACATTTCAAAAATGCATATATTATCCTACTTTAGTACACAGTCCTACAAATTCTTTGTTTGTACAGGTGTTAGTGATAAAACTATAAAACTTGGTAGATGTATGAGTAGAAAGCTGCTTACATTGGAAATTGTATCTGTATAAAAAAAACAGAAAAAATATGTACATAGACAGATATGGTCTATGTTTTTACATTAACTTAGTGTATATAGTTTACTTTGTGCAAATAATTTAACAACAGCTCTTTACACTCATATATAAAGCTAAAAATGTCTTTGAGGTGCATTGAGAAGGATGAAGGATGACTTACTGATTCAATTTGCCTGTGCTATCTGTACATAGCTCTCAAAGATCGTGTATATATGTATTTATGATTTTACTCTTATTTGTTTAGGTGGTGACAAGTACCTGAAAGAAGAATTTTTACATGAGTATATGAATATTCTTCAGCCCATGAACCTCACTTTATCAGGGCTAACATGATGGACGGGTGAATAACAGGTGGAGAAAGATGAATACATGCAAGCTATTCTAGTCTCTGTCCCATCCTACCCCAACAGCCACACCTGTCTAAAATTGGACAAATGGAGCAATGCAGTATTGGATTACTCATCTTCTAAGTGTCACAAATATTTCAGCAATATTTTAGTGTGAGTTGTTTAGATTTAAATTCATTTAAAATCTTAGCCTTTCCCTGGGGGAATTGTCATTATAATTGAAATATCTTTACTTATAGGTAACAAATATGAATTATGTTATGTGGAATAGCCTAGATAAATATGAAGAAATCAGAGTAAATCAGCAAAAAGAGAGTTCAATGACACTGGTTTTATACAACAAAGACTCATAAAATCCCTATATTATAAGGAGGAATAAGAGGTTGAAATACTTTTATAATAAATATTATAAATTTCCACAGTGTATAAAACTTTTATGGTGGTAGACAATACCATAGAGAAAAATAAAATTCCACAATGATGTCATATTTCTGGATTTGATTTGAAATTCTCTTGTGCATCATGTTCACAAGAAATTCCTCCTAAAGTTAATTAGCCCATCATGCAGAAAAGTATGTGTAAAGAGCCAAGAAACATATCCAAACACCTTTAATAACCAAGAGATTGAATGGTGTAGCATAAAAACAGGTATAGAGCATGGAAGGTTAGATAATATTTATGGGTATAAAATTTGTGGGCAGCAAAGATTTCTAAATAAAAAGAACAATAAATGAAAATGACATACTTTACAGTTTAAGTTGTATTGAAAAGAAACTGTAAATGAATTATGAGGAAATAATATTCTATAATTTCATAACATTAAATATAAAGCTGATCACATATAATTTACATATAAGAAATATAAAATATTGCTGAATCTGCAGTGGTTAACTTAATTCCACCCTGCTTCACAGATACACCTTCTTACATTAGATGAATCTTGAAATATGGTAGACCACAACACTAGAGAAATACCTTTAATAAATCCAACAATTAACAATATAAGGCTTTTTAAAAAAAAATGCTTTGGCTCAGTTTGTAATTAAGATAAATTTAAAAAATAAAGTGGTAAGTATCAAATTTCCCACAAGGTTAAGATTTTTTAAAAAATAGTTTCTTCTTACCACCTTTGAATTTGAATGGAGATAATCAAGCAACTTTTCACCATTATCTGACTTCTCTGAATACTGATATTTCGTTATTTAACACTTCTCTGAGAAAAATTTACTCATATTCCACTGCAAAAATGAAGAACATTTCTCATCACTGTAAAATGGGAACTCAAAAGACTCTGGATTTGCATATAATGCATTTCATTTCTCAATGTCTCAATATGAAGCAGAAAACCCCCTTTCTTCATCAAACTATTTTGAAAGGTTTACAAATAAAATTTAATGTCACTAAATAAGTATTTGGAAGTACATCAAAGTGAAAGACTGGATCACTGCAAATTCTATAATTAGAAAAAATCTGCATCATTTTTTACTTTGTTGCCACTATTGGCTTCCATTAGACATAAAATCATATATGTATACTGAATCAAATATTTTATAAGCACACAGAAATTACATGTTTCCAAGATGGTTTCTCTCAACCTATTTGAATATACACAAAAATTAGCATGAAGGAAAAAAAAAGTGATTCCCATTTTTGCTAAGGCCTTATGGAATAGTAGAAAGCACAGAAACTAATTTTGGAAATGGTCACTTACATTAAATGGCAAAATCAGGGCAAAATGTGAGCATTTCTGTAAGTATTGTACCATACAGTATGACATAACACCTTCTGTCTTTATTAGGTTTATGATAGTCTCTCTTACTTCTCCTATTTGCTTTTTAACATGGCATTTGTGAGGACAATTTATGCATTTTTATCACCTTTGGGACTCTCCCAAAGGAGATGACAAGCAACTAGTTTAACCCTAGAGCATTTAAGAACTTAATGAAAGGCCTAGAAGTTATCCACTAATTGTCAGGGACAATTTGTGTTCAACCATGACTTACATATTTATTGCAATTCGTAATATGAGCCAACAATCCAAATTCCATTTTTTTTCTTTCCCTCCCAAAAATGGTGCTAGTGTTTCGAGGAAATGTTAGTACTCTCATGTGTATTACAAGGAAATTTGAAATAGCCAAGTTGTAGAAAAAATGTAAACATCCACTTAGGAATGAGTGAATATATAAAGTGTGACAAATAGACATGATGGAATATTAATTATATTTGAAAGATAATACACCTCAACATGTGAACTTATAGATAAACCTAAAAAACATGATGCTAAATGAAATTAAACAATTGCAAAAGGACAAATATTACATAACCCCACATGCATATACTAGTGAAAATACTCAAACTTTTATAATCTAAAAGTTGAATGGTCATTGCAAAGGGGCGGAGATTGTGGAGAATGAGGATTTTCAGTAGACAGGCAGTTTCAATTAAGCACACAAAACAAGTTATAGATATCTGCTCTGAAACATTGAGCTTATAGTAAAAAGCAATGTATTGTACATCTGAAAATTTTAAGAATGTAGATTTCATGTTAGGCATAATGAAATAAATGTTTTTTAAAGGAACAAACTTCCTGTACATGCTATTTTAAGTATAAATATTGAAAATAAATTCAAAGCAGATAGATAACAAGGATTACATTTACTATGATTTTTTTGAAACATGCAAAATAAAAAAATAAATAAAAATGGAAAACAAATCACAAGGGGCTAAAGGAAGAGGAGACATGGGAAGAAATTTCTTTACAAGTGCTTTGTATCAATGAAAATGTTTTAGAACTATATTGCATTACATTGTGAACATAGTAATTACCACTAAACCATACCCTTGCAATTTAAATACTTTAATTTACAGCATATGAATCTTGCCTTTATAATTATTTTAAATAAACTTAGGTATAATATATTCAGTTGTTTTATGTGTGTACTTTTTGTAGAAATGCCTAATTTTATATTTTGCCTATATATTGTGTGCATTCTTGAAAATAGTTTCTATTACATGAAATAAAAATTGTCTATTTCATTTGTTTATTATAGTTTTGGTGTATGGAGATTTTACTTTTGGTGTGCTCACAGAAGGTTCTATCATGAATTTACCCAATTTTTGAAAGATTATAATAAGCAAAGAGGGTTCTACTAATCTTAAGGGTTCTGTATATAATAAAAATAAAACTATGTATTTTGCTAAACTAATCATTGTTTTCATAATTCTTATATATTAATAAGATTTAACCTGCAATTTTATATTTTTTTCTAAAATATTTTCAGTTTTTAATGGACCTTTATTTTATTTTACTTATATCCAATGCTGAGAATTGAACTGGGTGCCTCAAACATGCTATGCAAGCACTCTACCACTGAGTAACAACCCCATTCACTACAATTTTTTATTAGTCATTCTTTATTTTGCCCATAAAAATCATATTTTCTCATATTGGAAATATTTTTATGCTCCTTACTCTTTTTGTGAATTCTGATCCTTTTCCTATCCAGTCCTCTCCTATACCAAATATAATCAATATCTACCATTTGTCATTGATCAACTATAAATTCACATACTTACCATTTAAATACATAATTAATTTGAGGGACCTCGGGTCAATTTTTGTTTGGATCTGCACAGATAATGGATATCAATGTCCATGACTTGGTTGTGACATTTGAAGGAAGGGATCACATGATACCTAAGGACAGAAAACCAATGTAATGTTTCCCTTCAGGAATATATTATGGAATGAGATGCTTTTTGTATGTAGTTTTCTTTAGTTTTATTAACACCACTGGGGGGAAAAACCTTATACACTCTATGTACTAGAGATATTGCTGTGCTATAATTAATGGCTAAAGGGAAACACCCAGGGAGA